TATCGCTGAAAAATTCTACCCCAAATCCAGGTTAGATCTGGAAGCAGCTGGAGGTAGAAAATTCATTATTGTTTTTAAACACCTAGAGAATACAATACATGGCCACAAAGTGATAACTTGAGTCTTAGCCTGAATAATCTGCATTAAGGAAAAAATATAAAGATGATACTTAAGAGCTTGTTGGCTAACTGACGTACCATGACTTAAGTCCTAAGAGTGAAACATTACTTCACTTCTGGAACCAAAGCTTAAGTGACTCCATCAAACTGTGAGGAGGGAGCAAAGAACCTGAGTGACTGGCCTTCATTATTAGAGAATGTTTCCAAAGGAACTGAGACCATTAAGTACTTTCATTTCAATGTGAAGTACTATCCAAAAAAAAAAGAGAACATTAATTAGTATGTTGGGTTAATGAGTGCTAAGTACTCAAAGTTTTAACATTTGAAAGAGGATTAATCATTTAAATATATGCCCTTAGTTGAGAAATTCCTTATTCTTCTAGGTTCATGTTCTAAAAGAATTATGCAGCCCCTGAATTAGGAAGGATCTAAAATAAGCTAGATATGGGAAGGACCAGTTAAACGGCCTTACTAAAACCTGCTTGTAAAAACTTCCACTTGCCTCATTCCATTTCAGCTAACGTGTATAAAGAAAGCATCTATTCTCTCCTTAGGACTATGCTGGGTGCACTAGAAAATACAAGGAAACACAATGGACTCTGTCTGACCTTGAGAAGGAACGCTGCCTGGGGGAACAAGACAGAGTGAGACGCAGAGGAGCTGCGAGGAGCCCGGGCTCTGCTACTGAACGAATGATCACGGGAATGCGAGCCTCGGCTTTCTCCAGCGGTAAAATGGGCTTAACATCATACCAGCTCTCCTAAAGAAATGAATGACATCGACCATAATAAAAGAAAAAATACTTTGAAACTTTCAAAAACATCAATGTAAGATACAATAAATTATATTCATGAGACGACTACAGAATAGAAGAAAACATAGAAGTATACTACATATAATATAATGTAAACTTCTCAAAGTTAATTCAACACAACTCTGATTCTGTGAGATGTTCATAAGTGTATCTCAGAAAAGGAATCCCATGGCCAAGGAAGCACAGAAAGCACAGGCCTTGAGGATTTTTCTGTTACCAGTTCGACCATCACCAGTGGCTGACATTCAGCATCAGTCACAGCAGTAGGCCTCTTCTATGGATCATCTCATTTAACCTCCCAACAACTCGGTAAGGCAGATGTTATTATTATCCCCATTTCACACATGGGGAAGCCAAGGCAGAAGACATTATATGACTTTCCCAAGGTCACATGGCTAGTTAGTGGCAGATGCAGGGCTCCAAAACTCAGAGCCCCCACACTGAACCACAACACATATTGCTCTCCATTTTCTCCAAGTTTTTGAAATTCACTATGAATCTCTCCTAGGGAAATAGAACACGTGTTTTTCCTGAATAATTTTTTTGGAACAACCTGTAGCACTTTGGTAAATGGAGCAATAATGAAAAGCGCATTCATTTCCTTTCCCTAAATTATTCTGCCTCCTTGGCTTGGGCTATATTTTAGTCTAAGGTATTTCCTTTATGATCCATTTCACCCAAATCAGTAATCCAAGAAATACCAACTTAAGAGGATCTGCCTAGGTCACTATCGTAAGGCAGAGAGCAGCTCAGTAGGGGATCACACACAGACTCCATGTCTGGTTCAAGTGCCTGGGCCCAGAATTTCACATCACACTCTTGGGGAGAACATACAGACTTAAGGGATGAAAACGTGATCAACTATTAAATAATATATATTGCAGTTTATCCCCTGAAAATCACAACATCCCATCAAGTGAAGCAAATAAGACTGAAATATTAAGCTGTTGCTTTGCATTTATTAGCTTTATTATACTTTATAAGAAAAAAAACTAAATAGGCCCATTAGGCAGTTTTGTTACCAATGAGTGGATTTTCCAATATTTTCTTCATCTAGTTTATGTAGCATAGCCCGTAATGTAATCATTTTGTTTGAAAAAAAATCACAATTTTTATAGGCAACACTATTAAGGTAAACATAGTGTAGGAGAAAGTCAATCATAACACATCAAACATTTGATTTTATAGAGACTTTAGTAAAGTAATCTTCATTTCTTGATGATTATACTATTTCTTTGTGCTGAACTAAAAGCCAGGGACATAAACACAACACAGAGTGAAGCCCAGGAAGACACGAAGGCCAGTGACCAATGACAAGTGGTTATGCAATTTGGTATCTTTGTGCCCTTTCCCCTTAAGAATCACCTGGGCACCATGATAACTGAAATGTCCTTTTCTTATAAGAAATCAAATATACAACAAAAGCACTAAAATGATCATAATGCTGCCACGCACCCTCCATAGACAACCACTGTCAAAAACATTAAATCTTAAAATAATGCACACTGAACCTAAGAAATGGTAGCTAAATGAACTCAGGATAAATTGCTAACATCACTGCAGCATTCTGGCACATTAAAGAACCTGGGCTCCGGGCATGTGGGAGCACATTCCCTTGGATACTGTGGCCCCAATCAAAGAAGTTGTAGCCATGCTTCTTGCTAAAAACAACATTATCCAGGGAAACGGGGAGTTATTACTTAATGGGCACAGGGGGTCCAATCTGTCAGATGGAAAGAGTTCTGTAGGTAGATGGTGCTGATGGTTGCAGAACAATGTGAGTGTACTTAATGCCACTGAGCTGTAGACTTAAAAATGATTGAGAGGGTAAACTTTATGTAATATGTGTTTTATCACAGTTAAAAATAATATTAAAAAATACTAACAGTTTTATTCTAATTTTCTTTGCTGGGTGGGCATGTTATTTCAATTTCCCTGTATCCCCCCTTTTTATATATAAACCTGTGTTTTAAAGTAAAAGATCAGAATTTTAACATTAGAGTATTATTTCTAACAAACATTATCTGCTAGGGTTTGGTGGTCTTGTGTTTTCTCCCTTCCAGAACAAACCAGGATAGTAACTTCACAACAGGCCTTCAATTACAAAAATACAAACAGGCTTGACAGTTAACATTTGGTGAAACAGCACAAAGAAGGAATGCATTAGGAGTCTGCTTTTGGATTCCATTTGAAGCCAATAAAAGGAATCCAAAGAGTAGCTAGAAATCTTTCCTGTGTTATTATATCTGGCTATCAGCATGAAAGCATTAAGAAGAAAGGTTGAGGCTTTGAAAACTTCTTTCGGGGAACTCAAGAGAAGGATATCGGAGTGTACACATTCTTTCTTTCCTTTCTAAGGGTCCCTGAACCCAAGAATCTTAAGAACAGGGTAAAAATTCAAGTCAGATAACAGTAAGGAGGAGCCCCAGCTGGTGTGGCTCACTGGCTTGAGTGCCAGCCTGCAAACCAAAGGGTTGCTGGTTCGATTTCTAGTCTAGGGTTCTTGCCTGGGTTGCAGGCCAGGTCCCCAGTAGGCAACACATGAGAAGAAACTACACATTGATGTTTCTCTCCTTTTCTTTCTCCCTCCCTTCCCCTTTCTCTAAAAATAAATAAAATCTTAAAAAAAAAGTAAGGAGGAACAGACTAAAATGAAGAGATGTTGTTTGTGCAGAACTGGGAGCTGCATGGGAAGGGATACTAGTAGGATCCAGGGAAGGCCGATAGCAGCCTCCAACTCATTAGACACATTAGCCATCAAGCACTTTAAAGGCAAGACCCAAGGTCTATACCAGAAATATGTCATTACTTAATTCTCTGAATTACCACAGTGGAAGCACTTAACATTCAGAGCAACCATTCACAGTGCCCAGTCATCTGTAGGAAAAAATAATCCAAATATGTAAATGTCACTTCTTAAAGGACTGTATTCAGGAGAAAGGACTCTTGTCCTGGCTCTACTTGCAGAGAGGACTGAAGCCCTGGGTGGGATTAGAGCAGATGTCTCTGAAGGAGCTTTTAAGCCTGAGGACTCCAATTCTATGGCAAAGCTGCACCTACATGTGGAGGTATTTCTGAGGTTTTAGGATGTGACCCTTCATGGTCATAAGGCTATATGGCAATTTTTATCTGTACTCATGCAGCTAGTTAGAATGTAAAAATTCTAAGAACATTAGTAACCAATTAGAAAATAAATTATTTTACAACTTTGAAAACATATATTAATATCAACATAAAACATCTGAGGTAAAAACGCAATCACAACGTGTTGCAAGGTTAGCGTATATATGGAAAACAGCTCTCTGGAGGAAAGCTTTATTATTCCCTCGGGGCTTTCTTACAGAGTATGGATTTTTTAATTCCTGGTAGAACATTTTTCATACACCATTGCAGACTATTAAGTACCAGATATTACATTATGTAGTTTAAACTTTGCACTACTGCATGAGAAAGACTTCCCTGTCGAGAGAACTATTTTTTATGGTTAGCATTTTTTAATATGAAAATGAACACTCCTTTAGGGTAGGATCACTGCAACTGGAATTTGAGAGAATTTTATAACTTAACATATTCATCAATGTGTAGAAATTCTCTCAGGGGAGTAGGGTAAGGAGAGAAAGAAATACAACAGGAAGAAGGCTTTTTAATAACTTAGAGTGTCGACACAGAGCAAAGCAGTGGTATTTATAAGGCTTGTCTTCCACTGGGCATAGCTGTAAATAGGCAGGGGACTAGCACAGGGTGGCAGCAAGTTAAAAAAAATCATAGTGTTAAAGAGCAAAGAAAAAAATGTATTAAACTTCAGGCCAGTTACAGGTATACTTGCTAATGGTGGACTATTAATGGCTCACCCAGGAGAGATGCAGACTCAGAAATATTAAAAAAGGGTATATAAATGCACCTTTTCAAGCAATTCCTGAGAAAACAGATGCCTTGCAGAATTTGGGAGTCAAATGTGGAAATAAAATCTAAGCGCTGGTGGTCACTTAAAAATCTCTGCCAAGGAGAACCTGGATACCCACATGAGGCAAAAGTGATAGAAAGTTTAAACGAAATTCACTACTCACTTGTAGACTGTGCCTCCGTTGCCATGACCAAGAGTGTCTCGATATCGTATGTCTTGTTCATTCATCTCCACAAGAAAGAAAGAAAAACAAAAAGGGTGTCATGCTGTGGATGAAAATGTCAAGGAAAAGCAACTCTGGGCCATAAACAACAAGCAGTCTGGGTCATTTCAAGTTCAGCTGCAAGAACGAGAAGATCAATACAACATTTGCTGTCCAATTTATAAAAGACGATACCAGGGGACAAAGTGATGGAAAGTTTAATGACAATTTGTTTGCCTGGGTCATTTCATTAAAGTTTGATAAAAGGTGTCAAAATGGAATGATATAACATAGCTCAAAAGGGTCAGGTCAGAGACAGAGATCAGAACACAGTCTCCAGCACTGCATGTAACCCATGCCAGAGAGCGCTGCACAGAAGCAAAGCCAAACTTGGGAGGACAACACACACACACACACACACACACACACACACGCACGCACGCGAGTGCGCCCTCGGTAATCTAAGTCACGGTGTGTAAATAGATCAGCCCCTGAAAAGTCCTCAGATGACCCCATAATTAACACTAAACAAACTGAGTAATGTTGGTGATTTTCCTAGAGTAGATATGGCTTTTTTTGGGAAATGATAAATTAGTATACAGCAATAAATGGGTAGAAATCATACGCTGATAGAAAAGTGCCAAATCAATGCCCTTCAAAATGCACATTTAGTCAAATATTATAAAGGAAAATACATATTTTATGATTTTAATAAAATCATATGGTTTTAATAAAGTTGTTTCCGTAATTTAAAATATAAAACAGCACACACATTTTCCCCAGGTTCTGTACAACTTTCATACCACAAATTGTACTCTCACTTGTATCACAAATAGTAGTGAATTATTTTAGTGCTCACAAAATAATGTTTTAGAGTTTCAAAGAACTCTCTAAATAATTATTTATCAGATTATATTTGATGCATTCAGTAATTTTCTACACGCTGGTCCACTTGCTTAAAAATTAACTGCCAACTTTATTCACTAAGTGGCTTCAATAAAAGTGTTATTTTCCATATAGCTAAAGCTTGGGAAAAGCCATACTAAGCCCTGGGAAAAAAAATCAATTTCCAGGGAATTGAACTGCCTTGCATGAGCAGAAAATGGATGGAGTTTTTAATTCAATATCATCTGGAAAAAAATAGTTTGCTTTCAGACCATTATAGTAAAGCTTTAACTATTTTGCTGTACCCTACACTTCCACCAATTGAATAAAGCAAGGCTTCATTTATCAAGGGAAATATTTTTCTTCTATACATTTCTGAGGCTGAAGCTTCAGAGAACTGTGATAATTAGAAGTACAGTGCAGGTAACAGAACCAGCTTCCCTTCCAAGCCATTTGCCAAGTCCCTAAAAGAATACTGGCAGATATAATGTGTGTATACTGGCAAGTTCTGCACCCATTTTAATTGTAGTACAACCTAATTGATGCAATTTGCTATTAGCTAATTACCATATTTTGGGTCAGTGGAGAAATAATAGACAAGTCAGAAAAACTGGCAACTATTTCCCCATTCCAGGGAAATTCTGTTCTTTACTATCTTCATATTACTAATATTTTTTAAAAGTATTTTAACCTGTGTAAAAGATGTGGTATGAAGAAAAGAGCACATGATTCTGGACCAAATGATAGACTTTAAGATGGCATTAAAGGGAAAAAGAGCACATAAAGCAACTCGAGATGCTACACCAACAGAGTTGCTGTTGGGTTGGCTTTGATGGATGAAGGATATGTATGTAAATACCCATATCTACCAGTGGGTAGAATAGGCTAATTCCTTTGAAATACTTCTCTAATATTCTAAACATGATTCTAACAACCTAAGTTGTACCATTAGCTTGCCCAACAAGCTGCAGCATCATCACAGTTTGAAGTAAATTTCTAGGAGAGAGGTATTTCACTCGAGTCCACAAATTCCGAATTAGCGGCACTTGAGATTTAAGGGTACACAGACTGCAGCTGTGGAGTATAGTCATGTCCCCTCCACCTCCATTACTCTGTCAGGGCCTTCCAGGTAAAAGGACCAGTAGTTTCCTCTCAGAAAAATATACACACCTGGACATACTGATATTCCACATTTCCAATGATACACTGGGATAGACCTAGGACTTTGGAGGGTGTTTGATTTTGTGGCCTTTTGTTGGGGGAAAAGAAGGCAAAGGAATAAGTAGGGCATGTGTCTGAGCAGCTTCAACCATTATAATCCCAACATACAGTATTTTTACCTCTACTACCTGCCAGGTTGGGAAGAGAAGGGAAGCAGCCCCTCCCACCCCTACCGCCCCCAGCATTCCCAGTACTACAGCCTGAGGAGGAGTGGTGGGCACCCCAAACAGTCAGAGATCGGGAATGTTGTACGTTGTGTGTGTATATGTGTGCTAAGTACTATGTAAGTAAATTCAAGGATAGGGATTTGGAATACCTCAGATAATGAGGAAGATTGTAAATGTCACATCAAGATAAAAATGGTTTTGAACAAGTTCCGGAACGATGTCACTTAAATAGACAGTATCCATAAAAAAATGGGTAAAGTATTCCTACAATGTTTTATTAAAGTTCCATAGACCTTTGTCTGACCTATGAACTCACTGATAGATTTTTATATTTTGAAATATCAGATTCTTTTTACTTATTTGAATTTTCTAATTTTATATGGTATATAAATATTATTGATGTAAAAAAAGTTTCACAAAGGGAAAACTATTAGAGCCAACCTCATGAATTGATTATAAACAAAATTTTCGGAATTTCATAGCTCTGATCAAAATGTATTACTTTAATTGATTTCAACTATGAAAAATCATTAAAGGAATCAACAAACAGCTAATAACATTTTTGCCTTTTTAGTTTAGAGAAGCACATTAATCCAACTTTTCAAAATGAAACACAGGAAGAGTGCTCATTATGATGCACAAATGGTGTTTTTAAAAGCCACAGAGTACATTTATATACCATAGGACCAGATACCATAAAAAGCACAAAATTTTACAGCGCTGTACGCATGAAGCCTCATTCACGCAGGTTATACAGCCAGTCAGGGCTAGAGCTCAGTCTTGCACATGTTCCTCTGGAGGCTCCGCCTCAGCAGTTGGCCTCCCGTGTCAGGATGGAGGGGCGCCCCCGACCCATGGTCCCTGGCCCACAGGAGGAAAAGCCATCAGATGGAGGGCACTCACCAGGTAAAAGCAATTTTGTTAGGTACGGCATTTGTGTCTAAGAAGAAAACTGCTTTTTAAATCACATAGCTCTTTATATAGAAAAGAGGTGAAATAAAATTCTTATTCAATAAATACACCAAAATCAATTTTAAATAAAAATTTTAAAAAGCACATAAAAGACAAGCTAACAGACAGAGGTGAGGGTGGATGGAGGAAGAAAAAGCCATGAGAGTTATGATTACATGTCAACTGCCAAAAAGGCAAATGACCTGGGAGAAAAGGCTGGCACCAGGCCCTGCCCCAGCTGCGAGAGAGGTGGGCGCCGTGGAAGAAATGCAAACGTGAAAACCAGGGCGGAAAAGTTATGTGTGTGTGGGTAGAGGAGTAGTGTAGTTTGGACTTACATACACAGTCTCATTTATGTTTCGGTTTTCATATGGAATCTAAGATGAGCTGTAAGAATCTAAGAGTTTTATATGCTGGTAAGAATTAGTTTTAAAGCTAATTTTACAGTATAATACCTATTTTTCTTCCGCCTTTTTTTTTGAAACACAAAAACTTTTCCAAAGGCATTTGAAGTTTTCAAAATACAAGTAAAAAATACAGCAAGATCAGAATTAGTTCTAGATCTGTGACTTCTCAGTACATTTACACTTGATTTATGAGGAATAAAAAAAATACTGTCACAAAATCTCCTACAAGATCTAAAACACAAAATGAGGAAAAACAACTTTAGAAATGCAAAGGTCAAAGTTACACATACTTGAAATAACTGTGCACTTTTTAAATCTTTTAAATTGACCCACTGAGCCATTTTTAATCAGTTTCAAATCAAGGGCCAATGTTAAAATGAAGTGAGAAAAACACATTCAGAAAACACATAATTGGTACTGATTTATAGTCCTAAGTAAAACATGCCAAAAATACTTTACGATTTTTTTAGAGCTGGAAAAAAAGGAATCCTCTGTTTAAGCAATAACAGAAAAATGGTGTCTCTATTCCAAACACTAAACGTTAAACTTTTACAAAAGTGCTTGATTTAATATAATATTAATGAAATTAATGGGGAAAATGAAATGGAATTCAATTATGGATCAACAAAGAAAATATTCTTTGTTTATTGTCTGCCTGTGTTAAGAAGAATCAGTACCTATCGCTGATAAATCATTAAAATAAAAATGCTCAATTAATCCTTATTTTATATGTAAAGGTCTGCTAGAAACTAGTCCTATCACTAGACCTTTGCTTCACAAATCGAAGCAATAATGGTTTCAGAAAGCAGTCACACTCTATGAGCAGACAATTGGAGAGATTTAGTAAATCCCACTTTAGAGAGCAGAGACTAATCGGAAAACACAAGCCAGTCAAATGTTTCTTATGAACTGTTGACACTATATCAATGCGGAATCAATTGGTGGCATTTACTCTGAGTGACAGAAAAGAAATAAATATTTATATCACATAACCTATATCAATGAACCCAGGCTGAAAGCTATTTCTAACCTGTCAATATTTGATTATCTTGAAGAATCATGTCCCTTTCTTTTAATGATTAATATGAATTCCTTATTAAATCTAAGTGGAGGCTAGTGGAAAGGCAAATCATTATTAATGCTTGAGAGCATAAACCACTAAAATAAAAAACTACGCTCAAGTGTTAAAGTATCGTTAAATGTGACTTACATCTTCCATATCAAGTGGTGTTAGTGTTCAGCCCAGAAATTTATGGATGCCCACAACTGTGCACATTACCGCGCTGCAGTGCAATCTCGCTCCCTCTTTAGTTACCCTGTAGCACCAGCAAACTGAGGAATTAGTAGAAGAAAAAGGTATTTTTGAAGATTTTCAATAGTGGTGGTAGGGGGGTGTTTTGTTTGCTTTTGTAAATGAAAGAAAATATAAAAGGCTAATCCTTAAGAGAAAGAAATGCCACCCTATTTAATGCGGGGTTACCACATTCCCAAGGGAAAGCAGTAAACAATCTTCAAGTGTCAAAAATCACTGCCATGACATCCTCCACTGAAGAGAACCTCAAAACCAAGAACATTAAGATATTTATGGTAGTAGGTTTGGTGTCAAAACACTAGAAACGTTTCTGAATGTTTATTTTTCCAGTAGAAATAAACTCTTTTTCATTTTTGAAAGGGGAATCTATGACAGGTTATTTTCCATTGCCTGAGTTGAACAAATGTAGTTAAAGCTTCTTAATTTATGTCAATTTTGAAGTATATTTTCCAGCTGAAGAACACAAATGACTTATACATAAATTACAATTAGTAATAAGATGTTGAAGATAAATAAACATCCTAGGCTCAATATTTCTGCTTTTAGTCCAGTTTTGTTTCATACTGGTTCTGAACACAGAGTACCAGAGGGACACACAGGGGAACCTCAATCCAGACAAACCTTTGACTGCTTAAAGTTAAAAATACTAGATAAATACGATCTAAAATTCTGAGACCGCATAGATTACACATGTAACGCCAGATTCCCCTCAGCTGTACATACAATGTGGAAGAACTAGAATCCACACTCTGGATGATGATCGGATGTCAAAACCGCATCAACTTACTTTTTCTGACTGTGTTCAAGGGACTGTGCACTAAATAAGGAAGGCTTCCAGAAGCACCACTACACAGTCACCGTTTCAAGGCAAACAAATCTATTAGGCCACAAAGTTACAGGTGATAGTAAAGGACAAGCATGAGGACCCTGCTTTGTCTTCTTGACATGCTCCACTACAAGTCCTTGATTCATGAAATGCCAATGAGGCTTGGAGAGGTCAGCGTGTGAAGGCACTGAATAAGCATCTGAGATAATTAAGATTTCAGCCTTCGAAACATGGACGGGAAGTGAACAGCAGTTAAGAAAATCAATAAGAGTCTTTTATTTGCAGTGACACAGATGTCTCAGTCAATAGAGCCTAATAGGCAGGCTTAATCGCAATGGACAGGCGCCTGCCTCCAAGGCTATCAAAGGGCTTCCTCTATAACAAACATTAAAACGCATTTATGTTGCTACTGAAGAATCGAGGACCCTGTAGGTAGCTTAATTTACCAGTGTATGTTTAAAAGCAGTACACTATTTCAGATGTGTCCATTCACTTGAACCGGAATCAGTGAGGAGTAAGTGGCCCGCAGGCCTGTTTGTTCCTGGCTGGGGGGTTGGGTCATGCCGCTGGAAGGTGGCCGGTCGACCAGGCAGAGCGGGGCTCCTGAAGCCCAGGAATTTTAAATGCCAACAATCTCTCGTGATTCTATTTCTTTGAAAAGCCGGTGTTAGTCTCAGGACAAAAGAACTGTACTAAGGTGAAAAAGTAACAGTTTGGTTTACTTTTTTCCCCAAACATAATGAGAGAAATAGTCACCTCAGGACACAGGGCCGTTTTGACAACCCGTGGGGTTGACACACTTGTTCAGAACTGATTGACTTTTTTTGAACTGAGAAGGCAGCAGGGTGTGTGCATGGTACTTCAATCTGCTGGGAGTGAAACCCATTAGCACAGTTTGAAAAACGTGCTGCAAATTGTTCTGCCAATCAAATTAAGCCATGTAATTCATTTATGACAAGAAGGAATTCACAGACCCTATCTGTTTGTTAAGTTTATGGACACAAAAACTGGACAATAATAAGTTACTACTATCTGAAAATATTAATCTGTAATGACACCTACCTGGCCATTGGCTAATATTTTTTTCAGTTCAGCAGAAGACTTCTTTAAGCTGAAAAGGGAAGACATAATTTTTAATGGTAAGATCGACCCCTCTGAACACCACTGAAAGTTCCAGAGTAAAACATACATATAGGGACTGCATTCTTTATATCTTTCTTGTACAATATTTTTTCAAAAGTAACTGGCCAAATGGCAAAGCTATTAATAAAGTGACTGAAACCCCATTAGTAATTTAAGTAATAAAGACGCCTACAGTCAAAAGGAAGCTGGAGCACTGCAGGCTACTGCAGAGACGGCGTTTGGCTGTTCGTTCTGCTGCCTCTGGGTAGCCTTGCAGTGGCTATTTGATGTGAGCTCTTCATCTGCCAAGTCCAAAGTATTTCAACCATGCACTCTTAGAATGTTCACAACAAGCAAAGATTACAGAACTTTAAAAGATAAAATGGTTTAAATGCTGATGGTTTAAATGGTTTAAATGCTACAGTTAGAGTTAAGTTCAATTCCTGGGAAACAAATGTGCAGCAGAAATAACTCCTGGTACTCAACAGCTATGTGCTCTGAGACAGAGTCCTTATTCTCTCTGAACCTCAACTTCCGAAGGAACTTTCCTCCCTGTGTTACTCATCGGTACGGATAGATGTCTCTACTCCCACCACACCTGCCCCAAGACTGAAAGCTCCTTGAGGACACAGATCACAACTTACCTGTCTACACATTCCACCCTTGAGCCCAGCCCAGCAACCTGGCATGTGCTAAGTGTCCGATAAGGGTGATCACTGTTCTGGTTGTTACCATATGTTGGTCTCTCTCTCTCTCTCTCTCTCTCTCTCACACACACACACACACACACACACACACTGACTCAGCACTTCTAATGTTATATTTGAGAAAATCTCAGATTTCAAATTTGGCCACACTCACTATTCCCAGTTGTAATTGTTCTTCTTACTAAATACTTCTTAAACTTCTGCTATGGTCAAATGCAGACGATGAAGCCTTAGTCTTTACTTTTCTCAGATGTTATAAAGCATGCCCTCAACCAATGGTTCTAAACTTCAATAATGTCCTCCCAAGTCGAAGAATGCATGTACCTAAGTGGCAGTTAAGAACTTTCTAGAGTGGAACTAAAGCTGAAACATATACCAAAAAATAAACAGCTGCCTTAAATTGGTCCACTTAAAAAAAACAATAATAGCAGTTCCTTTTACTGAGTGATGACCATGTGCCAGGCACAGTGCTAAACACTCTTACTTACTATCCTGATTTAATCCTTACAATAACTATACACCTGTGCAGAAGTTTAGAGAAACTGGCCTGTGGGATATAATTACTCTCAGTTTACAAAGCAAAACAAAACACCCACTAAGGTACAGACCTTGCTCAAAGTCAGTCTACCTCTCTTAAATACATACTCTTCTTCCTGAGTAACATTTAGATCCCTCTGTTTCCACAGATAACTCCCAATTTAATAGTTGCAATTATTGTAAAAACAGAAGTTACCAAACAATGCCTGGGAAATGTTTCTCCACAGATTCCATTTTATCATACAACTCGAAATAATAACATTTTGATTCGCTGCATTTATAAAACACTTTTCATGCAAGAAAAAAAATGTGATTCCTTGATACAACTTCATCAATCTTCTAACACCAGAGGTAGATATACAGAAAGTCTAATCATCCTAATTTTACAGCAAGAGAAAATCAAGACGTTTGGGAAAGGTCTTGCCTTGGCAGTGGGACTTGAATTCCATAATTACGGCCTAGAAACACCACGTGGATTAGTAAGCTCAGTTTGATAGCAGTCGTGCACCTAAGGCAAAGACCAATTCATGCTCTGAGGTAACAGAGGAAAAAGCTGATTCCATTCATTATGCCAGAATCTGGTTACCAACTTCGGTTAAAAAAAAGGAAAGTATTTCTATGTATTCTGGCATTTTCTTTGTGCCCCAGTTGACTTGATATTTTATTCACTGGTATGGTCACAGTGACTTTTAAAAACCACTTTTAAAACCTTTTTAAAATTTAAATGTGATACAATTATAACCTGGTTATGACACTTTAAGAGGGACAATGAGATAGCCAAAGAGTAACAGGGTGAGAGGTCTAGAAATAATGTCATATCAGAAAAGCTGAATGAGTTCGGAGAATTTAATCCAGAGATAAGGCTTAAAGGGCATCTAAGTTAATTAGCAGTTAGCTAGTTCATTCTTTCATTCATTCATCCATTCATCCATTCATTCATTCAAGCATTACTATCTCCTATGCCCCAAGCATGATTCCTCCCATTGTCCAATTTGAATATGTTACAGTCACTGCCCTCAAAGAGCACAGAATCTACTGGGGACAGAGGTAGTTATAATACAATGTGCTAACTGCTACAGTAAAGCAAGCAGAAGGGGGTTATGGGAATTCATAGAAGGGGTACTTGGTGTAAACTGGGAAGTACGTAATAATCAGGGATGGTGTTTAGAAGAAGTAACAGCTTTGTTCCTCAAAGATGACCAAAGTTAGCCAGACTGAAGGCAGAAGAGGGGGTTAAAAGAGGAGAAAAGCAGGAAAGAGGCAGAAGCAGATGTGAAAACCCAACAGGGTGAAAGAAGAAATGTGACCCATTAAGGGCCCCTGTCTTTATCAGCAGACCTGGAATGTCAGTTAAGAAGGAGCAGGAGTGGCAGGCTGGGCGGCTGGAGTGGGCTGAGCACCCACATACGAAGGGCCAGTGCTCACCAGCTGTAGAGGGTACACTTCACCCTGAAGATTGTGAGAAGCAGTAAAAGCAGAAATGATGGGCTTAGAACTCACATTAGCAAGACAGTTCTGACTGCAGTGTGAAGGAGGGACTTCAGTGGGGCAAGACTGGAGGGAGGAAATGATTAGGAGGCTGTAGCAGTGATCTAGAGCCGAAACAGCCTTTGCAGCAACTGGGGTGCTGGCAAGTAGACACACTCCAGAGTGACTCAGGCGGCAGAACCTACAAGTGTAGGAACTGACTGGATGTGGGGCTGAGGGAACCCTGGGAGGCAGCACAGGATATTGGCAGGTCATCTGGAGTAAGCAACGGAAATAGATATGGGAGCATTTACTGAGAGAGGAAATCTAGGAGAATTATGTTTAGAGGGAAGATGACTGGAAGAGTTATCATCTATTAGAGAGAACAGCCCTGTTCTGAGGGCTGAACCAAATCTTTATGAATAGGTAGTAAAGGGAGACAAATCTCAGCTCACAAAAAAGAACATCCTAAGATTTAGTACATGAAAACGGAAGGGGCTGCCCCAGCCAACAGAGTGCATTCCTGCCACAGAGCTATTCAGGAAGAGCCTGGATGACCACCCGGCCAGGAGTGAGTTAAGCATCTAAGGAGAGCAGGAAAGATTGGGCTTCTCATTCTCATTCTGCACATCACAGGCAAGGAGTTGGCAATGGCACTCTCCTGCTGAAAGTCGTCTAATGGTCTGCCAATACACTGGGGAAAATTCAAACACAAGGCCCTGCATGATGTGGCTCCTGCCTACCTCCTTTTCTCCCATCACTCCTATTGCTTTCCTCTCCTCTCTCCATACCTTCCCCAGCTCAGCACCCTTCCCTGTGCACCAGGCAAACTGGCCTACTTACCAACATGCTGAGCTCCTTCTCCACCCCAGGATGTTCACATATGCTCTCCCCTCCCTCTGAAAGGCCCTTTTCTGGCTCTTGACGCAGCTTCATCCTCATCCTTCTGGGAAAGATCACTCTTCCCCAGAAAGTCTTCCCAAAGCACCCAGTCTAAATCTAGCCATATTCCTCCCTAGTGTGCTCTCCCTTCAAAACTTGCCTGTTTCCTTTATAACATTATAAAGTATAATTATTTGTATATTTGGACTTTTTTTGTCTGTGTGACTATTAGGTAGCAAGCTCCAAAGGAGAAAGACCACACTGTGTTCCTAGTGTGTAGGGAAGCACCTAATGAAGAAGGCACTCAAATACTTTTGATTAGCTATCAACATGGGGCACAGAACACGGCCAACCCAGGGTGGCATATTAAAGTCACCTGGAGGACTTTTTCAAATTGCATTCCTGCCATAACAGAAATCACTACTGGGGCAAACTACTGTTGCTATTAGGGAGGCTGTCATGCCCTATGGGAAGATGTTGCAACAAAAGGCCGAGAACCACTAGATCAGACAGCCTCTGTCCTACCTGAAGACTTCATAAAACTCTGTGAATATAAATGACACTTTTTAAAAAGCCAAGCCAGTTCACTCATGTTTTTAAAACCAAGTCTGAGAGAACTGAAAAGTTATCCTGCTTCTTCTCTATCTTACAATTCTTTTCAACTCTATCCTCTTTTTATGCAATGATAAGATTTGACCTAAAACACCAGGAAAAGTCCTGGTTTTTCCTCAAGGCTCATGATCAGCCTATGTGAACAACATCTTTTCTGGAAGTAGCGGTTGTAATTAAGTGCCCTGCCCTCTTTGAGTTGAGTGCAACAACTGACCTTCAGTCCCCATGCAGTCACTCTGCTGGGCCATGGCTCACATGCTCAGGAAGCAGGACGAGAAGCCACAGGGCCGAGTCCCTGGATGATTACTAAGAGACCTACCCCCATGACCACAAGACAGATGGTCCACTGGTGAACAACCAGGCTGTGTTTTAAGACAGAATGAATTGCTTAAGACGGAAACACCCTATAAGGGTGGTGTGTTCATAGCAGGAAAGCTGATGCATAGATACACCGACACCATAATAAAGCAGTCAAGGAAGTGACTTTTGGGGAGGGGACAGAAGTATAAAGACAGAGTCCGAAGGAGAGACTTTAAATGACCTATACAGTGAAGTCCCCTGACAAAAAAACCAAAACCAGAACCAAGACTCGGGGTTAAGAGGGAAAAGAGAGGTATAGAAGGGCAAGCAGAAGCCTAAACGGCATCTCAGTTGATGAAGGGCTGTGTAAATACTGGCTACAGCCCTAAACCCAGGAAAATCTGGACAAAGAATGGGAAGGCTTTTTGTGGTTTGATGTTGGCCTATCAGTCACCAATGTGAATACACACATACATGCAGAGCAATCACCTTCACAGGGTCATTGTCAAGTAGAGGCGTACCTTGTTTTATTGTGCTTTATTTTACTTTGAAGATACTGTGTTTTTTACAAGTGGGAAGTGTGCAGCAACCCTGCGTCGATCAAGTCTATTGGCACCATTTTTCTAACAGCATTTGCTCACTTTGTGTCTGTGTCATATTTTGGTAATTCTTACAATATTTCAAAGTATGTCATTATTAGTGTATTTGTTCTGGTGATCTGTAGTAAGTGATCTTCGATGTTACTATTGTAGTTGTTTGGGGGAGTCAAGAACCACATCCACATAAAACAGCCAACTTAATAAATGGGTGTGTTCTCACTGTTCCACTGATTGGCCATTTCCCTGTGTCCATGTGTCTATCTGTCTGTCTGTCTGTCTCCCTTCCCCTCCTTCCTGTGGCCTCCCTATTCTCTGACACAGAACAATATAGAAATTAGACCCAATTAATAACCCTACAATTGCCTCTAAGTGTTCAAGAGATAGCTAGAGAGGAGAAGTCAGTGAAAGCCTGAAAGCTTCAAAGCTTCAAAGGACAGGCAGACTCTCTTGTTAGGTGCTAATGTAGCTGGTGACTTTCAGTTGAAGCCAGGGCTCATTTGTCATTCTGAAAACCCTAGGGCCCTCAAGAATTAGGCTAAATCTGCTCTACCTATGCTCTACAAATGGAACCTCAAAGCTTGGATGATAGCACATCTGTTTACAACGTGGTTTACTGACTATTTTAAACCCACTGTTGAGATCTACTATGCAAAAAAAAAAAATCTTTCTCAATATTACTGTTCATTAACAATGTGCCTGGTTACCCAAGAGCTCTGATAAAGATGTACACAAAATTAATGTTGCTTTCATGCCTGCACACAACATCCATTCTGCAGCCCATGGATCAAAGTAATTTTGACCTTCAACTCTTAAGAAATACATTTTGTAAGGCTATAGCTGCATAGATAGTGATTCCTCTGATGGATATGGGCAAAGTAAACTGAAAACCTTCTGGAAGTAATTCACCATTCTAGATGCCATTAAGAACATTTGCAACTCCCAGGAAGAGGTCAAAATATTAACATTAACAAGAGCTTAGAAGAAGTTGAATCCAACCCTCACGGGTGACTTTTAGGGGTTCAAGACTTCAGTGGAGGAAGTAACTGCAGATGTGGTGGAAAGAGCAAGAGAGCTAGAATTGAAAGTGGAGCCTGAATATGTGAGTGAATTGCTGCAATCTCAAGCCAAAACCTGAATGAATGAAGAGTTGCTTATAATGCATGAAAAGGAAGTGGTTTCCTGAGATGGGATCTCCTCCTGGTAAAAATGATGAGAGGACTGTTGAAATGACAACAAAGATTTAGAACATTCTATAATCTTAGTTGACAAAATAGCCGGCAAGGTCTGAGAGAACTGACTCCAATTTTGAAAGGAGATCTACTGCGGGTAAAATGCTACCAAACAGCATCACGTGCTACAGAGAAATCATTTGTGAGAGGAAGAGTCGATCAGTGTGGCACACTTCACCGTCACATTTTAAGAAACTGCCACAGCCACCCCAGCCTTCAGCAGCCACCACCCTGATCAGTCATCCGCCATCAGCATTGAGGCCAGACCCCCCACCAGCCAAAAGATTGGGACTTGCTCGAAGCTCAGATGATGGCTGACATTTTGTAACAATAAAGTACTTTTAAATTAAGTTCTGTACATTTTTAGACATAATGATATTGCGCATTTAATAGACTATAGTATAGTGTAAGCATAACTTTTATATGTTACCGGGAAACCAAAAAATATGTGTGACTTGCGTTATTGCATTATTTCCTTTATTGTGGGGGTCTAGAACACGTGTACTAGCTGAATAACTGAATGTGCAACAGAGACAGCCTAGAATGCTATCAACTGAAGCAGGTCACTCCTTCTACTTGAGCACTGTGAGGGTCTGGAAGTTCTCAAGCCTGTCCAAAAAACACATTTTAAAAGGCTCAAGTCTCTAGTAGTATCCATCACAGTGTGGGGCAATGTTACTATGAATTCATGGAAATTATTTTCATTCCAAAATAGCTTCAATCTCCTATGCAACACAAAGATACAAAAATGAGCAACATGGCTGATCAATTTAAATTTTACCACTTCACTCGTTCCTTGCCTCTTTCTGGTTAAGATACTGCTAAAAGATGAAAAACCAAGCATTAAATAATTCATAAACCAGACCATCAAGGCATAAAATAATCAAATCACTGAATTTCCTGTATAACTTGGTAACTGAAGGAAAATCACTCCGTACACCAAAAGTAACAGTTTAACACACTGAATTTCATCTTTCTCTATGAGGCAGGTTTTCTCTTTTCAGTCAGTATGTAGCTAGGGTTACCCAATTGTTCAAATTTCTTCTTAGCCACATACACATTTTTTGGTCTTCAGGAGAAGAGGTGACAACCCCACCCCACTGCCCCTCTCCCCAACTTTGCAGATAATCACGAGTATGGGCACATATCATTCGCTTGTCCTTACCTATTGCTTGGAAGTGCATCCGAGACTGCTGGGCTGCTGTGTTGAGAGGGTCCAGCTCGGGTATTCACCTGCAAGTACAGAAAGACTCTTGATCAGTTTTGTGTTCTGAGGATACAGTTCTAATTAACCTATAATTTGCCACAAATTTCTCATTTCACTATGAAGGTTAATTAGTTTGTTGCCAGACAGACCCATGGTTCGAATCTATTTAGTATATAGGTTACAGAACTATACAACCTGTATATTACATAATACTCCATTACTGTCATTACTCAAATAAACAGCGCTGGAGAAAAGGAGAGATAAATAGGGAAAATTTCTAATTCATTGTCTAGAATTGAGTTCAATTCTAGAGAAAAATTCCATTTAGTGTTTTGTTTCGTTTCACATGCAAAAAACCAAGCCTCATATGTTCAAAAAAGTGTGTTAAGAATACATCCAGGGGTTTGTACTGAACCTCAAGATGTCACATCCATCCAGCTCTAAAACCAAGCAGAACACTGTAGAATGTTCCATGTTCACTAAAAAATGAATCCAAGTAATTAATTATAAAATGTTTGAATCTAAAAGTCAGCTTTTCTTTCAAATATAAAGCCTTAAACAGAAACCCAGAATTCAAAATACACAGAACAATTAAAAAGACATCAAATAGATACATGTTTTTAGCATAAATATGTCAAAAGAAGAGACAGGTGGGTAATCTGTACGCACTATGCTTATGTGCTTAATTAATCACTGAAACAAAGTCTATATTTTCACGTAAGTAAATCTTTGTGGAGACCAGAACCCAGGATCATTCTGAAGAAACAGATCAACAAAACAATTCCAAATAATAAAACACATGACAACAAAACCCCTGTATCCAAACATATACACATATTAAGCATCTACTACAGAAAAACCCCCCTCCACCTTCCATTTAAAAAAAAGAAAAGAAAAAGAAAAAAAAGAGATCGCTTGTCAGAGCTTGAGAAAGTGCAGTTTTATTTGACATTTCAATAAGTGGAACACAGCATTACAAATCCATCTAACTTTACTGAAACAATTATTGAAATTCGTACCTTCAGGCCATGTATGTTCCGTTCCCCAGGAGGCTTGCAGGCTGAAACAGTAATTGACTAAATTGTAGAACACATCAGGGCCATTTACAAATTTGCTCAAAATGAATCGTTTAAAAAGAAATGAGGGTGACACCAAAATTAGCAGAGAGAAATGATTGAAAAGTGGCTCCCAAGACCCAAAGTGGGAATTATGAACCAGGGTTTTTAACTTGCAGGAGTGAGCATTTATAAATGCAGAGCTTTCTGACACCACCTCATATAAATTCCAATTTCTGCTTAAAACATATAAAAATCAAGTTAACTGAGCTAAAATGATTAAATTCCTTTCATAATTCAAATTTCTGCAACCTTTCCTCACTCTATTATATTGTATATCTGCTATCACTTAAACTACTTTGAAAATCGCTAGGTTTTGGAGGGGAGCAGAGGAGTGGGAACAAGGTCTTTTAATGCCAAAATGACTGTTAGAGATTCTAAGATGGAATATTCAAGTCTGAATACTATTAGTTTGCACAGCAATAAGCAGTCAAATTTATTAAAATATAGAGATATCACTAATTTTATGACATTTCTTGCAAATCTTGACATCTGGTAATATTTAAGTCTAAAGATAAAGCAGTGCCAAGAAAAATAATATTAATTTCCTGACACCATACTGAGTTAGATGTTAGTATTTTTCCAATTCAGCAAATGCTTCTTCGTCAAATGTTAAAAACACAAAAGCTTCCTGCCCATGTTACAAGCTGCTTCCATCAGAAAACTACAGTGCCCTACATATTATATGTTAAGGGGCTGTCAATTTTGATAGATTGTTTGGGGAAGGATGAATTTGATTTTTTTTTTCTCCTTTCTCAGACGTACATGTTTCCTGTTTCTGACAACAAGAAATACAGCTATTTAATAATAACATGTGAGTAATAATTACAAAGCCCATCAGTCGATTTGATTTTGTATATTTCAAGTGTACTCAAATTTATTATTTTCCTAGAAAATATATCTAAATCTTAATAAAGAATTTTTATTTGTTTTCCTAAAATACATTAAAACCAGGACTCAAATCTTCTTAAAATGGAAATTAAATTTTTGAACAAAACAACGGTCACATACATTTGATGTTCAGTCCTTGGGGGACCATTCCTAAGACAGCGTTTCAGAGCGTTTTTTCGCTGAAGTACCCAGTCCGTTCAAAAAACTTCATTTAATAAGAAAGGGGCTAACTAAGGAATTAGAGACAGGCATCAGCTCTTTTTTCCCCCCAAGAGTGTAGTGGTTGCTGAGGAGTAGGGGGTATAAGGGGGTTAAATGAGAATGGGGAAAAAATACAATAAAGATTAAATCAACTCATGGCTTACCTTAACTTCTGCCTCTTTGCTCAATTGGCTTCTCAAACCTTTATAACTGAAAATCTGAACAGTATTCAAAAACCTAGTACCTCATATTCCCTAAAGTTATAAGTCAGAAGTTACTATAAAGCTAGTGAATTTTCATACTTACTAACATATAACATATTTTTTAACAACAGAAAGGACTCAGCTACAAGCTTGAAATGAGAACATCTGATGTTAGAACAGAAACTTGACCTCCTGTCTTTCTCACTTATTCTGTGTACAGATTCTTCTTAACATGGGGCCTGACCACAAAAGGTGGCCCTAACCAACTGTGTAGACCCTGTTAATACACCCAATATGTCTATATCCTAATTGTACAAGTTTGCATAATCTCACTTATCTAGATATGATGTAATTAAGTAAGCAAAAGCAAAAGAACACAAAAAACTAAAAAAGTTGTACAACAGCATGTACAAAAACAAACAAACAAACACAAAAATCCATAAGGGAAGAGTGATTGAGTCTCCTAGTTTTAAAAATGTAAATTTAGCTTGGAAGAACTTTACTTAATAATTTACTGGGGCCTAACAGGCTCTGCACCAGGAACACGTGTGAAACATCCCATTCATTTTCTTCTTTTCAGGATCCTTTCACTCTACTCCACACTCCCAAAACCCCTCCCAACAACCCCACACACCTCTGTATCTTAACTTGCATGTCCTTCTACTTTCAGCAAATTATATTTTTTAAAAAAATTCTTACTCCAGCCCTGGCTGGTGTAGCTGGGTGGACTGAGTGTGGGCTGCAAACCAAAGGGTTGCTGGTTCGACTCCCAGTCAGGGCACATGCCTGGGTTGTGGGCCAGGTCCCCGGTAGGGGCCATGTGAGAGGCAACCACACATTGATGTTTCTCTCCCTCTTTCTCCCTCCCTTCCCCTCTCTCTAAAAATAAGTAAATAAAATCTTTAAAAAAAATTTCTTACTCCAACGATACATTAACCATTTATAAGTTGTGTGATTCTGAAATTACTGAACCTTCCTGAACTTCAATATTCTCACATAAACAATGAAAGCAATAATACCTAATAGGCAAAACTGTCAGGAAAATTGGAAATAATGGAACTTAATGCAGTAGTTAGTACCTGAGCAGAGCAGATGTCTGCAAGTGGTTATTACAATAGGAGGGAGGACAATGGCATAGGCAGTAACACTGAGACCAGCAGTACCACTGACAGGGACTGCTCAAAAAAAAAAACTTGAAAAGATTTTAGATATAAAGGTACATATTTTATTGAAAAATAAAAGGCCCACAGCACTGGGCCTATAATTATCCAAGAGACTGTACTTACTAGGGTTTGCTATAATAGCAGAGCACCAACATAATGCCATCAAGTAGGGAAGCAATTAATGGAAATTTTTCAGCAGGTAAAAAAAATATTCCTTGTGGAAAAACAATTTTGAAACTTGACCAAATTCTCCAGTCACTAAAAATATCACAAAATAATCTGCATCCTTGCTATTGGCCTAATACACAAAAGTGGCAACATTTCTTTCTCTTTTTTTCTGTTTTAGTTTTTAGTCCTCAAGTGCAAGAGAATTGGATTAATCATAGTCCTTGTTCCAGACACAGTATCAATGGCCCAATTTTATCTACTTAGCTCTTTAATAAGTTATTATTAACAATTTACTAAGTACTCCCAACCCCACTGCCTACATTAAGGTGAGAAGAGCAGCATGGCTCTTGAACCCAGAGCTTGTCGGCTGGCCGAGTCAACTGCCTTTGGAGACTTTATCAGTACAAATAAGAGCCTACTAGTTAACTGAGCCACTCAGTCTTCAGAGTGTTATCAGTAATGAAAGTCTAGAATGTTTAATTGGAAAACTCATACCATGATTATTTGTACAATTATCAGTTAACAAAACTAAGTTTAACCTTTAATTATTTCAGTTAAGTTATTTCTGGAAGAGTTACTTAGAGAATTTCCTTATCTGTTCCATCAGTTAGAAAATGGGGATTCCAAGTGGGGCAATGTATAATGGGTAATGACTTAGCAGTTTATGTAATGAAGCGGTTCTTTTTCTCCATTATTCAGATTTTAAGGGAACATTTATACAGAGGCACATTCATATCTGATATAAGGTCAGTAGTGACCAACCTAAAAGGGAAAAAGCATGCTATCTCACCAGGTGATTCACCAAGACTTACCTTAATCATCTTATATTTTTGAAGACTTAACAATTAAATCCCCATTTATGAGGACTTTCCCTTATTTAGAAAATGCCACCCCCCAAAATCAAGCACCAAACATTCTATCAGAAATTCTCTCCTAAGGCTCCTTGGTAAACCTCAGCTTCTGTACGGGCTGAAAGCTTCTCCAAACAGCAGCTTTGGCTGCTATCATGAGCCACAATTTATAAATACCAAAATTAAAGCCATTCATTTGCCTTGGTTTAGAAACCATGCGGACCCCCAAAGAGTTCTTTAAGCGAATGTAAGTATGTACTTCAAAAACAAAAAAACAATCTAGTTAGTTTAATTTACTCTAGTAAATTAGATATTTTATCTGCCATAACTACAATATAGGCTACAATCCCCATGACAATGAATGCTTTTTTTTTTCAAATTAAGAGCTAAACATCATGTTATGTGCATTTAAACCTTTGGAAAACATAACTGTTGATGAAACAGTTTACTGAAATAATCATTGTTGATTAGAATTTGTTCAACATTACCTCTTGGAAATATCTGCAGAGGCTCTATTAGCTGTCCATTTACTTGCTGTTCCATTACTGTGGAATAATACTGCAAAGAGATTATAGGAAGAGATTACTCAGTAATGTGTGAATACTGGCACGGGCACTCATGGGTTGTTTAACTCATAGTACTTTTGAAAATTGCTGGTACATATAAATCAGCCACGAGAATACTCTGTCCCCGGTTTGTACATTAAAATGACAACTGTGAATATTCAGTACTGAAAGCCCAGTGCCATGTTAGCCTCCATGCTGTCATTTATCTTTAAAAGTGAAATTGTTGATCAGGACTTGATTAGTATTTGATCTGTAGAAGTATTTTGAAAATGATATGTATTTTTTTTAAAAAACACAAAGCATTTTAGTGAAAATTTCTCAAATTGCCTCTTATTCTTTTCCCTGGATTTTGCAAAGCAAACTAAAGATGCCTCACACTTAGCTTGGACTTCTTTGCCAGCTAATCACACATATTCATATTTGTGTATAAAATTAACAGATAATGGAAATCCAGGTCATAGAGACTGTGGGATGAGCAAACAGGATATGATCCATCCAAAGATGACAGGACCGTCAGATAAAAAGGCGGCCCAGTTCATCATAAGCTCATCAGTGAGCCTATGTCCACCCAACCTGAAGATCGCTCCTGGGCCCTCACGTCCTTAAACTTGACAAACAACAAAGTGAGGCTCCTGGTGGCAAAATATCAACCATGAAAACGACTGGTTTTGTGTTTGAGGGGCTGTTGCAGAGCAGGACTCCCCTTTAATCTTTACTGTTTTTATATTAAAAACCCACAGAAAAATTTTCCTTGACCATTATTTGCTGACACTCTTAAGTTACTTTTTTAGAAGATATAGATATAGATCTTATTGTTCTTATGTACTTTACATTATTACACGATCAAGTTTTTTCCTTAATAATAAAGAGAATTATTTTTACATCATCTTAGAAATCATAAGTTCATAAGGCTAAGGCTCATGGCCCTAAAAACAAAGTGAAGATGAATTTCTGAAAGACACAAACTGACATAAGTGTACCCTGCTCTCCAAGGGCTTCCAACCTGTAAAGGAACCTGATCCTCTCCTTCTATGTATGTAAAAACTTATATACATACAGCATAAACACACGTGATATTCTCTGGAATACATTCTAAGGTGCATGTATTTCAGGAGACTCTATTCCTTAAAACCACAGAAATACAGTGCTCGCCATTACTCAACCAGTGATGACAAGTAAATGAAATATCAATCATGCAGGCTGTCAACCTTTTGGGACAGCAATAACTGTTAACAAGTAGTCTGGAAAAATTGTCCGAAAATGACTTGTTCCCGGCACACCAGTGTTTGAGGTTTCCATGGAAAATTAAGATGCCAGTGGCTATTTGGAACATTGCTCAGGTATTCTTTTTAATGGAAAATTTGCCGGTTATTGATCCACAGCATGTACCCCCTTGCTTCTGGAAGGCTGCGAGCAACTTTCCAATCAGTGGCTGTCAAAAAAATTACTGCCTTTTTATACTGATACAAGACAACAGCAGCGGTGGTATTCGCCTATAGTTAATGCTTTTCTTTAATTAACTGCTATGTACAATGGGTTAGTAATTTCAGCTACTACTTCACCACAGTCCTAAAATCAAAACAAATAAAATATCCTTATGCTTTATCTAACAAATTAATTATCGCGTTGTCTGCAACCGGTGCTTGTGGTCAAGGCTGAAAACAAACCACCTCCAAGGAAAGGGTCAGACGGGGGCAATGCGTTTTTTCCTACTATAAAACCTTGCATGCATGAAATTGACCTGTTTTCCAACTTTATTTATTTACCTCACAAAATAAATTTTAAAAAATGATTTCCCTTTGCCCTGGCTGGTGTGGCTCAGTTGGTTGGAGCGTCATCCCGTAACGGAAAGGTTGCGGGTTTGATTCTCGGTCAGGGCACATACCCAGGATGTGGGTCTGTTCCCCAATTCGGGGGCATTCGGGAGGCAACCAATCAATGTTTCCCTCTCATATAGATGTTTCTCTCCCTTCCTCTCTTTCTGAAAGCAATGAAAAACAAATTTCCTTGAGTAAGGATTAAAATACATATTTTTCAAAGAATGGTTTCCCTTTTATTTCTGACCTGTGCCAAATCAACTGGTAAACTATGTGTATTTTTATAATCATTGTAAGAATTTTTTAGCAATTTATAAACATCTCTTTGTACTATATAATTAACTCAGTCACTGTAATGATATTAAGTATGCCACTTGCCAGTTTCTCTAAACCAAGTAGATAGGATTTGTATTTTGTTTTCTACAATTCTTCCAAACCCAGGGAACATTTTCTCCTGCTGAAATACTAGGTTTGATCTGTGTTTGTACTAACAGAGAATCTGTGTTCCACACAGTAAAGGACTTCACCACCAAGGACAAACTATAAAGGGCAGTGATTAAACCCATGGCGCGGGCCTACTCTAGGCAAATGACCTCTGAGGAACAGGCCTGGTGAGGACCAAGGGGCCACTAACAAGGCACCAGGTCTGGGAGCTCAGGCCACTGCTTACATGGCACTCCCTAAGGGACAGGATAAAATGCAGGGCCACAAACAGTATCCCCTGGAACAGAGAAGTCCCGAGGGACCACAAGGCCTGTGCTGCCCAGTAAAGTGAGAAGGAACTTGAAAGAGTCAGAGGGTCCACCCCAGGCGATGTAACACTGGCCGTGTTTCGGCGCAGCACCTCGGCGAGGAAGCGCTGCCCCTCATCTGCTGGTCTGTGAAATGAAGGTGGCGCCCGTCCACAGGACTAATGTGGGACTTACTGAGAAAATATTAAGACAGCGCTTAGTAAGCTGCAGATCTCGATCCTCTCAATGTTTTTATATGTTCTCCCTTTAAAGGGATTCTTTCCCATTTTGTCCCAAATAGTGATAAAATATAAACAATGATGACAAAGACTTCTACTAGACAAAAACAAACTGAAAAAACAACTAACCAAACAAACAAAAACCTAAATCCTGTGTGCCAAGATGCTCAACATGGTTCAGACAGAAAAGTAACAAAGTGAACCATTATAACATTCATGAAGTCATAATCTGAAGTTTCCTAAATAACTTCCTGACCTTACTCTCTATAATCCTATCTTGGCTTTCATTACCCAATACAAATCCCTGCACATAGTAGGTGCATGATAAGTATATATCGCTTGAAATGGGGTCCAACTTGACTCTGCCACTTACTAACTTGCAGTGGCCTTCAAAAAATCATTTAACCTCAGTGAACCTTAGGTTCATCCAAATGAGAGTAAAGAGATCTATTCCATGACATATGATTAGTGTGAAGCTCGAAATTAAATGGTAGCAATAGAATTAGTGAGGGCACATTGTAAACTGTAATGCATTATTAGTAGTTGAGAAATTAAAAAGTGATCCACTTAATACTGTAACAATATTAAGCACAACACTGTTTGAGAAGTGCTCTAGCATTTAAAACTACAGAAATAGTTATGTATAAAAAGTACACAGTATTGTGCTCAAACTGAATGTATCAGCAGCAGTTATAAAATGTGTTTCCTGCTGGTGTCCCTTGCAGAATCCGTTACATGTAGTAATTGCAGCAATAATCAATAAGCTAACTGAGTAAAAGATTAATCAGTTTTGTGATTGCTAATGGAATCTCCAGACCCAGACTCAGATTAGTTTCAGAGATCCTCTGAGATGTTCTTCAAAATCCTTAAACAATTTTAATAAGGATGTGACAAAGTTTAGCACAGTTATCCAAAAATCTAATTAATTTGAAACAGAGGGCCAGAATCAACTAGGGGATAGCAAGTACAATTTTTGGCTTTGTTTTGTTTGCAAGTTTATCAAACAGTGTTCCTATTTGTTATGAACCCAATTCTAATTCTAACAGCACAATTCAATCAATAATTACCACATTTTTTCTTCATGGAAATCTGCCATATGAAAAACTTCAGTTCCAAAACAGCAGTTTAATTTTACAAGGCACGCATTTTCTATTAAAAGAGAGAAAGGAGAGAGACAGAGAGAGAGCAACACACACAGAGGATTGAATACCTGCTGTGTATAGGCTCAGCACTACATATCTATGCTTATTCATTTGATTTGTCACAACCATATTCTATTCTGAGAGGATCACCACTCCTATTATTTCATAGACAAAATAAAGGTTTTATCAGTGAATCAAGAAAAGTACTTCTTTCATCCTAGTCCATGCACTCAGAACATGAAATGTTATGAACATGAAATGCCTTTAAGAGCCAAAAGGCAAGTTATCTCCTATTTCTCATACCTCAAAACATTTAACCAAATAAAGTGAGCTACTGGGTGGAATGCTGAGCTGGCGAAGACTTGGCTTCCTCATTCACACCCTGTGTGGGCTGCGCCACACCACCTGCCCTTTCAGAGGCTGGGATGCACAGGACAGCAGGGCGCAACGCCAAGATTCCTGCACCGACAAGGGACCTCTCCCTCTTTTTCAGCGACTCTCTCTAGTTTTCCCACCTCCCTAACCACCCTACTCAGTTTCCTGTATAAGTGGTTCTTTCCCCACCCCTCCTTTAAGTGCTGGAGTTCCCCATAGTTGTTCATCAACCTTCGCTTCTTATTTTAGACTCTCCTTAAGTTAACTGCAGCCACTTCAAAGGTTTCAATTACCAGAGGAGTCATTGAGACTAATTAGGAGCTGATGAATCACAAATCTTTATTTTCAGCCCAGATTTCTCTCCAAAGATTCAAAACACACCCAATTGGTTGTCCAAAGGCTCCTCGAATTCAACGGGTCCCTACCTCTCCCACCCCTCCTTCATGCCCTACACCTGTCTCCTGCCACCTGGGTTCACCATCTCAGTAAACAACATCACAATGACCTAGTTTTCTGAGCCAGGTATCTGGAAGCTTTCCAGAGCATCTCTCTTTCCTTCTTCCCCACACTCAGTCAATCACCAGTCCTATTCTATTCACTCTGTGTCTTCTCAAATCCCTCAGGCTAGGGCCCTTCATGATCTAGCCCACCTTCCTGCCCAACCTCATCTCATATCTTTCCTTCCCCC